CCCCCCCCCCCCCCCCCCCCAAAAGACGTGCCTCTTTCTTTGTATCAGGTATACAGTTTAATTTGTGGCTCAATTTAAAATCTGCATACTTGAGACTTCCTATTTTAGAGATTAAATAATCACATAGCATTTTTCCAGATTCTGAGCAATAGGGCTGACTATCCAATAAAGTAGGCTTCTTACTTACCTTCAACAGAATAATGTAGAATCTCTTGATTTAAGAAGCTTTTGTTAGATCTTTAAAGATAAAGCAGGTCAATGTCAATCTTGTTGTCTTTGCATGGTTCTACTTCGGCAAGTCAGTGCATTCATATTAAAATAGGTAATCTTTGCATTTTTGTTTGTGCATAGCCATTGGCGAGGCTTATGATTAATTTGTTTTAACTAGCAAAACATTTTCACTTCTGTTGTATTTATTTTAATAGGATGATTATGTTCAGGTAGTGAAGTTTTTGAGATGTGTTTGGCTATATGTTCAGATTTTTTCTACTTAGTTTAACAGCTGGCAAGTCAGGCAGCTAACCGTTCAGTCAGAACCAGAGATCAAGCTGCTCATCACAGATACTATTGCAAAACATCTTGCATGCAAACAAAGAGAGTTATTGCAAAGAATCTAAAATTTGACCTTGCAAAATGTGATTCTTACGTTCTGAGACAGTTGGGGAAGAAGTTGCAGCATACCAAGTAAATAGAATTTTTGAAAGGGGCCTAAATGAATAAGGAGGATGCAACCTGTTGAAAGCTAATGGAACTTGTACTTAAAATGTGCTTGAAAATCCCATGCAGTGCATCTAGTCAGGATACAGAATAAAGGACTCCTTGTTATCCATTTAGTGCTAGCAATATACAACGTTTACACAGTGGACTTTGTCTTTATAAGTATTAGTCCTCTTGTTGTCCGGTGGTGGCTGCGGACCGTTTTGAAGGCTAAGTAGAGCATTTGACTCAGAAGTTGTAGAGGGTTTTGTAGTTAGACCCTGGGAATTCTTGGTGGCACAGTTCTGTGTTCAAACCAGCTCTCTTCAGAGGAAGTAAAATAACTCACATTTCTTCTTTCCCTAATCAGTGGTCTTCAGCTAAAGCTGTAGTAGTGTTTTAAAGGTCTACCAAACTTAAAAAAATACTTTTAGACTAATGTAATTGGGGGCAGGGGGTGGGAAGGTTGACTTGAATATCACAAAATGAGTCCACTTTTACCTTCCTTAAAGATACTCTTTCCCTTTAGTACGTTTTCTAGTACTTTTGCTCTGTTTAGTTCTAAAACTTGTAACTCACAAAAATATCGCACTACTTCTCTAGAGGCTTTAGCCCACAGCCTTTGACAGTGCAGGGCCAACCTTTTTGGCAGGTGTGCCACAAATTAGCTCTGCACCCTCCCTAAGTACCACTCCAACTTCCTTTCCTTGCCTGATCTGTTGCTCTGCTTCCTTCGCTGTGCTCCCTGCCCAATTTGCTGCTTTGCTTTCAGTTTTCTGTCCTAGCTGTCTGTCTCTCCTCCCCAATCTGCATGTTGCACACAGAAGCTGTCTGTGTCACCTTTTATAGTGGCATTCATAGTGGTGCAGTGGTGCACACCTGGCCTATGACAGCTTACTTTTGTTCAACATCTGAAATTGTCTTTGGCAAATAAATTGCTTTGGTCAGTTGGTGCCATCTAGTGGGGTTTACTTGACTTTTACTTGGGACAAAAAACTTCATAGATAGCAGCATTTGTTTGCCTGGACTTTATAGCATAACATTTTGGATGTCCTTACTTCAGTCTTTTCATGACCTTTTCTTGCCTAGCTAAAGGACTGAACAGAGATCCTATTTAAGAAGGTGAAGCTCGACTATATGGTGGATTACTATAGCTCTGTGCTGTAATCTTTTGATGTATAGTAGTATATTTAGGCGTGGCAGAATTTGATAAATCAATTTTTATTTTAATCTTTTTTTTTTTTTATTGTTCTCAGGGTGTTTTGGGGGGGGGGGATTGTGCAGTAGTTTAAATTTTCAGGGTTGCGTTCCCAGCCCAAGGTGGGAAGCTGCTCCCTATTCCCTTAGGGGGTGAGTCCCATCTGGTAAGCACCAGAGCCTTGGTGGCCACAGCCTCCTGCCCCACTAGGCAGCTCAGCAGCAGTGACTGGGCCCTGCTCAGCAGCAGTGACTGGGCCCTAGGGGCACCCTTGCACACCCTGCCCTGATCACGCTGCCTCATCCCATGTTCCTAGAGCAGCCCAACCCCTCTGCAATTGGGGTGGGGGCCAACTCAGTCTGGCGCACGCAATCCTAGAGCAGGAGTCAGCAACCCCTGTTACGTGTGGCGCGCAAGGCCATTTTGCTCATCACCCCACTGCCAGCCCGGGCTCTAACCAGCTGCTGCTAGAGTCCTCCTGCATTGGAATTCATGGGCCTGTGAAGCAGTGAAAACTCCAAAAATGGAGCTTGTAGGATTTGGATCTCACCCTCTCAGGAAATCAGGAGTCCTGGAAAAGGTCTCATCTTTTAGCTTATTAAGAAATTGGGTTGTGCCCCAGGAGATTTAGATACCTTTCCCAGCTCTACACAAATTGTCTCTTTGCCTTGGGCAAGTCATTAAGTGTGTGTCATTAAGATAGACAAATTTATACTGAGTTGGGGGCTAAAGGGACATAGTATGCATTTGTTGATTAGTCTTAACTGTTTCATGCGTCCACTAGTGAGAGCTAACCTTGGCAGTTGTTTCATTCAGGGGCATACAGCCCTGGTTTAGCTTCCGCCTTCCATGGGACAAAGTAGACGCATACAACTTACTATGGCTCTGGTGATGCTGATTTTGGTATAATTTGGTCTGCACCTTTATCTTGCTTTCTCCCATCTGTAGAATGGAAATAGTGCTTGAGTTTTATTTGGACAGTATAGATCAGTGGTTGTTAATGGGGGTACACCTACCCCTAAGGGTACTTAAAAAGGTCGTAGGGCATATGGGGGGGGCTCCCACTGCTGCATGCAGCCTGGTGGAGGCCTGAGGGCCATGTGCTCCTCCCAGCCCCCTGTTCTGTGCATGGGGCGGAGGCAGCTGCTGCTGTGCACTGGGCTTTGTGCACCACTGCAGCTGTCCTGGGAGCAGTGCAGTGTCATGTGCATCCTGCTGCTGGGCTGTACCGTGCCCTGCCCCCTGCCTGCCTGGTGGTGGGATGCACATGGCATCGCATCACTCCTGGGGCAGCTGCAGCAGCGCGCGAAGCCTAGTGCAGCCACCTTTGCCTTGTGCACAGATTGGAGGAAGGGGGGTATGTGTTCCCTGGGCCTCCATCGGGGTGTGTGCAGTGGTGGGAGCCCCCCACCCCCTGGATTTGCTGCTCAGCTCCGATTTTGTCCCATGACCCACCCCAGCGGAGACCCTATTCACCCCAGCCCCTGCCCCTGTCCCACTCCCTCCCTCGCTGCAGGGGGGCCTTGATCTGCCTCCCCCCATAATTTCCCCTCCCCCCCAGACTTACCTGCTGGGGGCACACATGCTCAGCCCCTCCCCCCAAATAATTTTAATATAAAGGGGTACATGAGCTGAAACTTTGAGACAGAAGGGGTACACTTGTTAAAAAAGGCTGAAAATATCTGTAGATAAATTGCTTTGTGCTCCAGAATTGCACTCTGGGCACCAGTGAGATGGCCAGTAGCACAAAACTCGCAGTAGAGGTTTGAGTGCATGTACTTATACAATACATATGCATCATGAAAATCGATTACAAAATAAAGTAAAACTCACTATAACACCTGGCATCCTTGGTTAGTGATGCTTGGTGTACGTGGACCTGTGTATATAATAAAGATAAAGAAGAAGTTATCTATAGAAGAACTGTTGTATTAGTTCATGTAAGCATAGGTTATTCCAAAATGCTTTACAAATTGTACGTGTATAGTGTATATGATCCATGTATATAGTTGCATATGCCTGTGTAACCTCATGTACCCCTGAAATGCTGCCGTCTCTGTTGGAATGTGGCATCTGTTTATGACATGAAAGCGAGCAAATATGACACAAGCCCCAGAGAGGAAATGATTACTTTATCCATTTGACACACAGCACTAAGTTCCTTCTTTCTACGAAAGCCAAAATAAACTATAGGTGTGACACAATACTCTGATGTAAAATTGTATTTTTAAGGTATTTCTTTTGATGCTCGTGGCTATAGTCTGATCAAAAAAAGGTCCAGCCTTCCCTTAAATTATAAGCATGACATGCATGAGGAAAGCTTTACAAAAATGAAATAATTATGGGGCCAGCAATGATTGTTCTAGAAGGTATTTTTGGGTGAGGCAAAGGGGGAAAAATCTGGGCGCAAGTGGAGTCGTTCGATAGGAAGGGAGTAACAAGTTCACCAGTTAAGAGCTCATCATGCCAAAAGCACGTGTCAACTGCTGGCAGAAGAGGGGGGTGGTTGCACCCTCTGGAAGTGGGTGGGATTACAGACGCATGTAAGAAAATAAAATAAAACTTGGGCAGTTTCAACAAAATGAGGGTCTACACGATGATTGTTTTTGAAACTCTGCCAGTTGCTCCCTGATTACCATCCCTACAATGGCAGTTGAAGAACAAGGTCCTCCAATACAAGAATAGCTTTAAGAAATTGCTGCCTGAGGCATGAGTTGTTCAGCAGGGAGAGCAGAATCTGCATAAGACTTGATGCTTCACATTATTCCAGGTTGCTTTACCATCTGTAAGAGGAGGCCTGACCAGCTCTCAATCTCATCTCTGACTTAAATAGTAAACCTGTTTAGGCTAGAGGTAGGAGAAGCCTTACTGTATTTTTTTTTTCTAGGGCAGCTTTATGAAAGGGGAGCAAGGAATCCTTAGAACAGGAATTGGGACCAGTAAGAAACTGAGAAGTTAATTCACACAAACAGATCTTCTCTTCTGGCTTGTGCAGTGGTTGTGTTTGACATTCCAGCAACTTCCATGTAGCAGGCTAATCTTCCCCATGGTTTGCAGGTTTTACTTCTGAGGAGATGACCAACTGTAGGGGTCTGGTGGGATTTTAGTTCTGTTACAGAGGTATTAAAGCATTTGTATATGTTTAAGGACTTCTAGCATTCTGCACATAAGTCATCTTGAAGTTTTTGGGTTTTTTTTCAAGTTGCGATAGTGGCATGGAGGCTGACTTTTTTTAATAACTGTGTATTTAGTAATTCAGAGGATTGAAAGGATTATTCTCAAATTATAGATGGTGATTACTTGGAAACAAAAAATGGAGGAGGTAAATGGGAATAAAAAGGGGTGGGGGGTAAGTCAGAGTTTTACAAGCCTAACTGTCTTTCTGGAGCATCAATAGCAACAATGCTTTAGCCACCCATGTAAGGGTCTTGAATCTGAGTGTCTCAGAAGCCTTTTAAGGTGGATAAATCATATGGCATCCATTCCACAGATTCGGAAAAATGGGATGTCTCTGGGGTTCTACACACAGATGGGTAAAGACAAATAGTCTGACCATCAGACTCCAACGTAGGTACATTTTGCATTTAACCCTCGCCTGTTATATTAGTACGCATTGGGTGTCTCTACACGTATTAATTTGACACAATAAACTCTGGTGTAGTTCGCACCAGAGTTTATTGCTCCCAGGCACAGCATTTACATGTACACCCAGAACCATAGCACGCTGGGCTGGGGCAGCATAGCCTTGGCTGGCAGAGGGCCTGGGGTGTCAGCCTGCCAGCCTGGAGCTGCTCTCCCCTGGCTGGACATACTGCGGAGAGGCTGGCTGGGGCATGAGGGTGCTATAGTGTGGGGCTAGCTGGCAGGCAGCGTCTGCACTGTAACATCCTTGTGCCCCAGCCCCATCACTGTCTACATGTGCATTTGACCACATGTAGCTACTCTGCTGTAGGACAGTACTTATCAGGCAGCACTATCCTACAGCAGAGTTAATTAGTTTACTGTGGCTTAATAGTGCTGCATGTGTAGGCAGTGACTCTTTACTGAGGAACTAATTAGTCAGCTCCACAGTACAGCATCTTGTGTAGATGCGCCCATTGTGCGTGCCGTGTATCTTGATCAACCAATTTTCTGAAACAATTTTTTTCTCTCTCTCTTGCCCCTTTTTTTTCTTGTAAAGAACAAAACCCAGGCTCACAGCAGAGGAGAATATAATGTTTACAGTACCTTTCAAAGCCATGAACCAGAGTTTGACTACTTGAAAAGTTTAGAAATTGAAGAAAAAATCAACAAAATTAGGTGGTTACCCCAGAAAAATGCTGCTCAGTTTTTATTATCTACAAATGGTAAGTTTTTTTTTTTTTTTAAAAAAAAAAAAAAATTAGGTGGGTTCCCCCGAAAAATTCTGCTCAGTTTTTTTTATCTACAAATGGTAAGTTTTTTTTTTTTTTTTTTATTTAAAAAAATCTTCAAAATGTGTACATGGAGCCTGTGAGTGTTCATTCTATGTCCCCATACAAAGCCCTACTATTTATTTCTCTTTGCTGCTTTTATAGCATGTTCAGCTCTCCCAAACATAAATGTGGCTTTTTTTTAACTTAAAATCTTAAAAAATTATGACTCCGGTCTATGTATGAGATGCTTTATGTTAGGAGGAGAGTTTCTGCCAGGTCCCGTTGAGATCAACTTAGGTCAGTAAGGATGACAGTTATTAAATATCAGTTTACACATAATTAATTTATGCTTGACTTAACTATCTCTAGGCATTCAGAATGTTTTTAATAGTAACAAAATTTTGTGGAGTGGATTGAACCTAGTGTGAAGGATTTATTTTAAAAAGCTTAGAAAATCCTGCAAAGCCTGTGTAAGGACTTTGCTATACACAAGTTGTCCATTGGCCCATTTAAAGCAGTGCCTCCCAGCCTCCCACTTAGATGTTGTTCTGATAACCAAACTCCTGTATAGCATCTTTATGCTATTCCTGTACAGGAGTGGGAAAGAGCTATGTTGACAGAGTGCATTCTTGCACTAATATAACTGGAGCCATGTGAAACTTAGGCTGTTTTTATCACACTTTTAACTGGAAAAGCGTGCATCTATAGGTGCATTTTGGTGCACAGTAGCTTATTTTTACTGCGCGTTACCTAAAAAAACATGTGGTGATGCTAATACACAGTAAAATAGCTGGACTGGTACAAAAAGTGTTTAGACCCATTTTTGAGCATTTTTTTTTTTTACTTAACCAGTTCACTTGAGTTAACTGCAAACTGAGGTATCATTCACATCTGATAAATATGCATCTTGAAGCACTATCTTTAAGCTCTTCTTTAGGTGGGATCTAGGTAAGGTAATTTTAGACACTTCGGAGTATGAATATTAGTAGCCTAAAAACAATGGCTGTAAACAGACAGTGGCATCTAGATCTTTTATTTTAATCTTGAACAATGCTTTAATTTCAGATAAAACAATAAAGTTATGGAAAATCAGTGAAAGGGACAAAAGACCAGAGGGCTATAACTTGAAGGAAGAGGATGGGCGATATAGGGACCCCACTACGGTTACAACACTACGGGTGAGTAGCTTGGGTGTTTTTGTTGTTGGCTTGTTTTAGCACTCAGAAGCCTCTGTGACTCCCTCTGCCCCTGCCAGGACAGCTGACGATTAGCCATATTGTAGTGCTTGGAACCTGCGGCAGACTGAGGTAGGTGGCTAAGGCAAGGGTGGGCAATTCTTTTGGGTGGAAGGCCACTTACCAAGTTTTGGCAAGCTGTTGAGGGCTGCATGGGTAGCCCCGCGCCTTGGCAGGTGCCTTGCCCCCTGGTCACCACCTTGGGACCAGAAGTCCCGCCTTCTAACCTCTTACTTTTGCCACCAGGAGTCCCTCCCCTTGGAATTACTCCTTTGGGGAAGAGGGTATGCCATCTTAGAACCAGAAAAAACCTCCACCAAATTATATACTAAGAATCAAACGCCCATAATATATTTTATTTAATTTGCAAAAAATATTTTTGTCCTGATTTGTGTGCAATTGTGCTGTATATGTAGAAGGGATTGCATAATAGCTCAAAATGCAGTCTTACTGTTGTATAGTGTGTGAGGGGTGTGGTGGGGTATAGGAATGTCTTGGATGTGGTATGTGTGGTGTCTGTGGGGGTTGTGATTGTGTGTGGGGGAGGATGTGGCTGTGGGATTTGGGGGGAAGGGTTTGAGGGTATGTGGAGTGTGCATGGGAGCCCCCTGCATTCACCCCCCTGAGCCGGTCAGCACCCACCCCCACCCTGCAACAGCCCAGAGCCTGGGTGTCCTGGCACTTCCCTGCTACCGCCAACAGTTTATAGCCACAGCGCACCCTACACGCACTCTGCACCACCCTGCTGTGGAGTGTCCTGCCACCCCGGGCATGCAGTGGTAGTGGTGGGAACCAGTGCGTGCAGCCACGACCCTGCGTGCTCTGTGCCAGCTCCGGGCTTGCCCGTTGGGGCTGAGCAGCAGCAACTGGGCAGAAACTGCTGCTCTGTGTGGTAAAAAGCGGACCCATCCCCTCACTGCCATGTGGCAGTTTTTGCTGCGGCTGCCTGAAGCCTGTGCTGTGCCAGCTTGCCCTGCAGTTCCTTTACTGCCACCTCTGGGCAGCAGTGACAATGTGGGGGTGAAGGAGCTGCACCACAGCCTGGTGTGGTGGCTGCAGCCAAAATTGCCTGGCGATGGCAAGAGGGGAGGGGCTGCTTTCCACCGTGCTGAGTAGCAGAGTGTTGCCACTGCTGAGTCCCAACGGGTGAGCCTGGTGCTGGCGTGGGGCCCAAGCTGAGCACTGGCAGCATGGGAGAAACTGCTTTCCCCCTCCCACTGCTGGTGCTTCCTGGGTCCTGCCATGGC